GAGGATCATTTCAGTTGACTTAAAAATATTATCTTTCTTATGGATGCTTTTTTTTTTTTGTCTTTCTATCTTAATTCTCTATGACTTTGATCTCGTTAATCTTCTTCATATTATTTGTCTCCCTTGCTTACTATTAATATTTTACTAATGCATTTTTATGCATGTTATCACATAGCACTACAAGAAAACTAAGAATTTACTAGAAAATTTTATTAGGAAAATAATTCCTTGTAAATTTACTACGAACTTATTTCGATTTTACGAGAAAAACAAATTTCCTCGTAAAGTCCTCGTAAAGTTACGAGAAAAAGTTTTCCTCGTAAGACCGTAGTAAACTTACGAGAAAACTACGTGGAAAAAGACCATTTCCTCGTAAGCTCGTAGTAAATGCTTTCCTCGTTAAGTCCTAGTAAATCTTTACTACGAAATTAGAAGGAAAGAATATTTTACTTCAAATTAGCGAGGAACTTGATAGAAAATATCTAATTTAAATCTAAAACGTGTTTTGTACCTACTTTTCCTAGCAATTTCTTAGTAAATGCTCAGATTCGAAAATTTCTATAAGTACCACCATTTGTGATTCATTTCAAACACACCAAAAAAGCAGCTTTAAGCTTGATCAAAGATAAAAAAATGTCCGGTCCGGGAAATATTTTCGAGTTGAGGAAGTGGATGTATTCACACAAAGATAATACGGGAGAGTGACGAAAGAATATCTCGAAGGGTTGGAGACGTTTATGCATCAAGCAAATTCTACACCACTCACGCAGGAAAATGGTAAGATGTTCTGTCCTTGTCGGAAATGCTGCAATACAAAATTAGGCCCTCGTGAAAATGTTTGGAAGAATTTAATAAATAGAGGTTTCATGCCATATTATTATATTTGGTATCAACATGGAGAAGATGCTAGTTGTAGGAATGAAGGTAGCAGTAATAGCAATTTTCAGGTTGAACCGGGTTATCATTTTCGTAATGAAAATAACTATCATCACCAAGAGGAACAAATGGTAGATTGTGATAGGGTTCATGATATGGTAGGTGATGCATTTGTAACTCATGATGATGATGAAGTTGAAGAACCTAACTTAGATGCAAAAATTTTTTATGAAATGTTCGAAGCTGCGAATGAGCCAATTTACAGTGGATGTAGAGAAGGTCTGTCTAAATTATCATTGACTGCTAGAATGATGAGTATTAAAACCGATCACAATCTACCTGAAAATTGTATAGATGCATGGGCAGACTTGTTTAAAGAGTATTTGCCAGAAGACAATGTGTCTGCTGAATCTTATTATCAGATTCAGAAATTGGTATATAGTCTTGGGTTGCCCTCGGAGATGATAGACGTTTGCATCGACAACTGCATGATTTACTGNGCTGCTGTTTCCCGCAGCAAAAGAAACGCAAACCTGCAACCGTAGCTTCTGAACCAGGGAATGACGTTGAGGGGTTGGATGTCAATCTGATTGGGAAGAAATTCGGTAGCTCGAATATGCTAGTGGAATCGGTAAAGGTTGCAGAGTTCCAAGGTAAGCCATTAGCCATAGAGGGACACTCGAGCATACGTGGACGTCCTCCTGGCTCCTTGACCTACGGCCGCGAACCACTGTACCCCGCGGCCGTGAGCGAGGCGGTTAACGTGATCTCATGCTGGTACGAGGACAAGACTGAGTGGGGAATCAGCGTGGGGTGGGTCTACGGATCTGTTACCGAAGACGTGGTGACTGGTTTCAGAATGCATGAGAAAGGATGGAGATCCTTTTATTGCGTAACTGAACCTGACGCGTTCCGTGGTTCCGCGCCTATAAATTTAACCGATCGGCTCCATCAAGTTCTCCGTTGGGCTACAGGATCAGTCGAGATCTTCTTCTCCCGAAACAACGCCATTTTAGCTGGTCGGAAACTCAAGTTCCTCCAGAGAATCTCTTACCTCAACGTCGGAATCTACCCTTTCACCAGCATCTTCATTTTAACATACTGCTTCCTCCCTCCATTGTCTCTCTTCTCGGGCCAGTTCGTGGTTGATAGCCTTGAGCCAGCGTTCCTTGTGTACCTTCTTACCATCTCATTGTCTCTGTGTGGGTTAGCTGTTCTTGAAGTCAAGTGGTCAGGGATCTCTTTAGAAGAATGGTGGAGAAACGAGCAGTTCTGGTTAATAGGTGGCACCAGCGCTCATTTAGTCGCTGTTCTTCAAGGTATCCTCAAAGTCATAGCTGGAATCGAAATCTCATTCACGTTGACTTCTAAGTCTTCAGGAGATGATGAAGACGACGAGTTCGCTGATCTTTATCTGTTTAAATGGACGTCTTTGATGATTCTTCCGTTAACGATCATAATCTTGAACATCGTGGCGATTCTTTTCGCCTTTTGTCGGACCGTTTTCAGTGATAATCCACAGTGGAGCAATCTAGTTGGTGGGACATTCTTCGCCGTTTGGGTTTTGGTTCATATGTATCCGTTTGCCAAAGGATTGATGGGAAGAAGAGGAAGAACTCCGACAATTGTTTATGTTTGGTCGGGACTTATCGCTATTTGCATCTCTCTTCTCTACGTCACCATTAAGAACTCGGAGCTTAATGGAGGATCATTTCAGTTGACTTAAAAATATTATCTTTCTTATGGATGCTTTTTTTTTTTTGTCTTTCTATCTTAATTCTCTATGACTTTGATCTCGTTAATCTTCTTCATATTATTTGTCTCCCTTGCTTACTATTAATATTTTACTAATGCATTTTTATGCATGTTATCACATAGCACTACAAGAAAACTAAGAA